AAGATTTTGTTTACACGCCATTCTAGATGGCAGGAAACCATACACTCCGTATTGCAAGCATACTACGTTCCTGGTATCTCTTTGATCCCAATTGGTATTATTAATTTTTATTACAATCTTAATTTTGCTTTCACAAGGTATAATAAATTTTCCATCACGATCTCTAGCATTAGGTATATGTTGGTAAATTAGTTTGGCGTCGTCAAAAGGTACAACTATTGAAGAGAATCCTGAAGCAAATTTTCCAGTACGATTTTGAAACCCTAAAAATTTACCATTGATGGACAAGTCATCTAGAGGAATTATCCAATCATCATTATCATTAATCATTCTTGTATAGAAAATTTCACCAGTGAATTTACTTTGATCAACATCGCCAATTATTAATTCACTCCCTGTTCCATCTGCTTCTCTTCCAATTTTTAAAGAGAACATTGATCTAACTCAATATTTTGAAAAAAATTTATTTCCTGATTTGATCGAATTTATTAACCGCTGACAACCCGAGTATACCATCAAATTCAGTGAACTTAAAATTATTTGGAAATTTTGTAACTAGACCGAATTGCTGATCTGGTAATGGATCAGTTTTATGCCGTGATCCTGGAGAATAACCTCCAATATTCATAGCGAAGGTCTGACCCCTTATTCCCTCTACAAGTCCATTACCATAAACATAGCCAAAAGTTTTATTATTTGTTCTGAAAAATATATCTTTAGATTGATTATATTTGTTCTTAAAATCACATGCAGAAGTACAATCTATAGATGGAATTAAAAGATTACCAAAACCTGTATCAATCATTACATTGAATTTTTGACCACCAAGAGTAATTTCACAGAAATATTGATCATCGTGATGAAAATCATCCATTAAAGATGCGTTAACAATAGGAGGATCATTAATAGTGGACAGTTTTGAATTATGATTAGGACTTAATTTATTCGACTTCTTTAATGGAATTGCAACCGGTTTATGTGATTTGAGAGGTTTCATAAATGGAATTGTAACTGATTTAGGTGATTTGAGAGGTAATGTATTAACAAGTGGTAACGATAAAATTGATATTAAAAAGATGAATCTATGCCAAATGTTCATGATGAATAAAGATATATAGAATAATAAATCTATAGGCATATATTGGATAATTGATTATATCCAAAGTGAAATATTTTCAGATCATTTACGTTTATATAGTAAAATTAGAGTTCCAATCCATTAAGTGTTAATCCGAATAATTATCAGATATCCGTTATCTTTAACTATTGATATCCGAATGATTTATCCGAATATTTGTCGGATTATTCGGAAGGATTTATCCGGATTGGAACTCTAAGTAAAATCAAAAAGCATAACCAATTACTGTTTTATTTTGGCAGTATATAAATGAAAAATGCGGTTTAGAAATTTATTTGTTGCATCTAGTCCGGTCCAACTAAGCCTCAAAAGTCAAGTCAGTCGATCAGAAGTCGATAAAAAGTTCGGTTCATGCATGATAATTAGGAATGTTAAATGAACAGGTCCTGACCTAGTCTTTAAAAAGTTCAAAATACAGATTAAAACGAGATTGGACTATTTTTTAACTAGCCTTATATTGTAACAATTTTGAAATCAAAAACAATACATTCATGTTGCACATTAAAAATATTATTCATGTAGTTCTTAAAATACTGCTTATAAGTAGTTATGAGTCGGATTCAAAATGTTTATGCTGAGTCGATTCAAATGACCGACATAAGTGAACTTCTTAACAAACCTAGTCGTATCCATATTCTTGGTTGCCAATTCGATTTTATGATCTGAAACAGTACGTTGATATATACAGCATATTCAAATATATAGAGTATATAAACTTTTGCAGAAGAAAGGGCTTAAACTCAAAAGGCTATGAGTTATTTCGATCGAATTAATCCAAAATTTATGTTCATTGTAATTTTTATTTATTTTTATTTTTTTTTTGCGGATCAATTTTACAAAAACTCATTTTTTATTTTCGAGGCAAAGCCTCATATATGTGTAACATTTCATTTGATCAAGATTTTTTGATTGGTCAGGATCAAAGTGAAACAAATTTCATCATTTCCATGCCTCTGGTACGTACAGTACGTACGTACGTACTTTTCTAGAAATGTATACTAGTATCCTACACGTGCTTTGCTACGTGATAGATCTACATTTTGTGTAATATTAACAGGTATCTAATAAGTGTAAGTAGACAAACATAATAATATAGATTTTCAAAAAAGAGCATCATTCCGATTGGTTAATTTCTATATGTCGTGAACTAGATCTGATTAATCGAATTTAAAATTGAACTCGAAACGTTAAATTAATGAACTAATAAGTATTTAATTAAAGAGTTACCACTTAAAGACTGTTCCATAGCTCTGGCCGAGTTATGTTGATCATGGGCCAGAATTATTTTAATGCTGACTAAATCAAACAATTAACACGATTGAGCGGTTAGTAAATTATCAGGTAACCTGAGTAATGTTGGCTCGAAAGTATTTTCAAACAGAATTTGATTTACCAAAATGTTCGAAAGTCAAAAGTATTGCCGAAAGCCAAAAGTTACTAAATTCATCAAATACCAATATACAGTCAGCCCACTCTATAGTCACCTCCTCTATAGTCACAAAATTAACGTAATTACAAATTTATTTTTACCAATTATTTATAACTTTATAGAAAATACCTCTATATTAGTCACACTTCTTTATACAGTCAAACCCTTCTATAGTCACACCTTTGGGATACAAAAAACTGTGATTATAAAGAAGTGTGACTAATATAGAGGTATTTTCTATAAAGTTATAAATAATTGGTAAAAATAAATTTGTAATTACGTTAATTTTGTGACTATAGAGGTAACTATAGAGGGGACTGACTGTAATCACAGTTTTTTGTATCCCAAAGGTGTGACTATAGAGGGGTTTGACTGTATACTCATTAATAATTTTTCGAGTTAATCCATATATATTGACACTTTACATAAACTGTATTTGATTTTCAAACAATATAAAATACATATATCATTAAGTATATTGAAGTGTATAATAAAATTAAATACAGATTAAATGACAAAATAATATAAAATTTATTTAAAATATTTGTGAATTAATTTTTTAAGGATAATCATGCATGGAGGTTTAGTGATTGTGTATATTCACATTCGTAATTATCATCCTAAATTAGTATTTTTTTTTTTTAGCAACTATTAGATAGGGGATACAATAGTATTGCTCTCAAAATATTTCTTTCTATATTTATCTACATATTGTATATCATCTGATTCAATTCTGAAAATTCCTTATTCTTTTGAATACTAAGTTATCAAAAGAAATTCATTCGATCACATGTAGCTTTAAGTTGAAAATCTAATATAATTATTGATATCTTTAATTTTCTCACCTTTGAAAATGATTTTTGTTAGCTGCATTATAGTCGTTTTAGTAAATTCTAAGAAGAAAATTTCTCTGAGATCGAATTGATGAATATAAGATATCGATATTTGGTTTGGTCCATTCATCGGCAATTTTTTTAGTCTCAGAATTTACGAAACTTTCAGTAGAATTTTCAAATTTAGGTAATATTTTAAAAACTTTCGATGGTACTTTCGACTTTCAGTAACTTTTGGTTTTGCATTATTGGTACAACAAACTTAATAAAGTATCTTTTTTTGCATGTAAAAAATACTTTAAAGTAACCTTAAAAACTCGGATAATTTTATTATTCGAATAGAGTTTTACAATCTATATACTAACTATCTCTTAAACCGTTTCTCCTGCAAATTTGCCCTGAAATTTTTTTAAAAGCATTATTTTTAAAATAAAATCTTAA